TTTCCTTCTCTAGCTCATCAATCCGCTGGAGGAGTTCCTGGAAGAGTTCAGGGAAGGTAGATGACAGCGGCCCCTCCTGCGGGAACCCCAACACACACACACACACACACACACACACACACACACGTGCTCACACTGACTCAGCGCCAGGAATTCAGTGAAAGAAGAGATGTGTATGGCTCCTAGGGAAGGGAGGGTTTTTACCCAGCTGGTCAAGTCAGGCTCCCAGATCCTTCCCCAGCCAACAAGAGGAAGGAAGGTGGGGTGCGGCAGAGGTGTGCTGGAGGACAGCTTGGCAAGAGTAAACGCTACTACAGGGATGAGAACCTCTGGTTCTGGGATTCATTTCACACTACCCACTCGTGAAAGCTCCCAGCACTGTAGGATGAAGCCCATCTGCCTCTCAAGGAATGGAAAGTACCAGGTACTTCAATGCTGTCTGTGCCGTTTAAAGAAAAAAGCACCTTAAAAGAACTAAATCCAAGATGGCATGGTGGCTCATGCCTGTAATCCCAGCACTTTGGGAGGCCGAGGTGGGAGGATTGCTTGAGCCCAGGAGTTTGAGAGCAGCCTGGACAACATAGGAAGACCTCATCTCTACAGAAAATCAAAAAATTAGCTGGGTATAGTGGCATATACCTGTACTCCCAGCTACTCGGGAGGCTGAGGTGGAAGAACTGCCTGAGCCCAGGAGGTTGAGGCTGTGGTGAGCCGTGATCATATCACTGCACTCCAGCCTGGGCAAGAGTGAGACCCTGGCTCAAAAATAAAAACAAACCACTAAAGCCAGTTGCTAAAACTTAAACTGCTCCTTATTACTTGTGGAAACTTTCAGAATCTAAAATCCTTATAACTGATGCAAGCCGCCGGATCCTTTTAGCTAAAAACAAAAAAACAAAACCAAGCCCCATCATGTTTCAAAGTTTGAAAAGAAAAGCAGATGTGCTTCCCAGAGCAAAAATGAGTGGTGCTGCCGTCTCCAGGCCTGGGTGACGTGGCAGAATGGGATGGGAGAGGGTTGGCTCTCCTGTCTTCTCAGCCTCCCCTGGGTGTTCTTCCTAATGGTTCATTTTCTTCCGGACCCACACCCCCATCTGGCCTAATGCCACTCAGGTATGCGCGGTGTCCATCATTCCCTGTGCTGGCCTGCTCTGTTTCCCACCGTTGGCTGCACGGCATTGATGCTGATGGTTTGTATGAAAACAAAGGTCCCAGTGAAACTGAGCCTGGCCTGCTGTAGCCGGTGTCATAACCCTAGAGAGCCGGAGTCTAACTGTCCATCCTGACCCCACCTCTTGGATGGGCCTTTGTCTTTCAACACCCACATTTTTATTTATTCGGTTTTTATTTTTATTTTAGGGAATTCCCTCTAAGGACGTTCTGGAAAATTGCCAGCTCCCTTCAGGGCCCTCGGGTGTCTGTTGAGCGGTGGGTGAACCCCGTGGACACAGGATCCTGGAAGGGCCCTCACCTGGGGCCTCAGCTCGTGAAACTCCTGAGCCTTTTGGTGGGCTTCTTTCAGGGTCTTCACGTCCTCCATGACGTCCTGAAGCAGCCCCATGGTCTGCAAGACAGCAGGGGCCACGGGGCACCCGATCGCACTGGCGTCCCCTCCGTTCCCAGGCCCTCCCGGCGGGGCTGGAGGACGGCCCGGACGTGCTCACCTTGGCCACGCTGGCCACCTTGGCGACGCCGACCTCCTCGGCGCCCTTCACGGGCGGCGTCGGCCAAAGCCGCGCCCTCTCGGCCTCCGGCGCGCCCAGCTCCTGCTCCTGCTCCTCCGTCCACTCCGCGGCGGCCACGTCGAGCCCGCTGGCCAGCGACATGTTCTGCACGTGGCTGGCGATGCCCTGCACCTGGCTGCCGATGGTCTTGACCTGCTTGCTGAGGCCCTGCACCTGGCCGCCCAGGTCCTTCACCTGGCTCTCCAGCGCCTGCGAGGGCGCGCGGCCCACGCTGCGCCGCCGCTCCTTGGGCGCCGGCAGGTGTGGGGTGCTGCGCGCGGCGCGCGCCGACTCCTCCGAGCGGCGCGGCTCGGGCGACGGGGCCTGGAAGTCGATCCGCGTCTCCTGGAGGTCGAGCTTCTTGAGCATGGCCACGACGAGCGTG